TATTCTCAAACTTGTAGGGGGGTCTTATAATTTTGGGAACCCCTGTACATTCTGTATTTCAACATGTACGATCATATTCTGACGTATTACATACCTCTGTATTACGATCCTATTTCTCTGTACTGTATATAGAGAAATACGACCGTTTACAGCAAAATGGAGATCCTATAACGACTCAGTAAATAATTATGTTTTTATCGGTAAACTATCGTATTTCTTCGTATACAACACGAAGAAATATGATCTTAATAAGGAGTCATTTAATACGCCAAAATACAACACTTTATGATCGTTTAGGAGCATGCTTATTCATTCTGCTTAGTCTGTAGTTTTCTATGGCATATGCCAACTCGTAGAGCAATGATAATGAACGCACCTAGATGAAGATACACAGTATATGTAGGTCAGATGAAATGCACAATAGGTACCGCCGAAGGATATCCAGACTATTTGAATTACGATCTTTGATGTATAGAACAAAGGAAATCGTTGAATAGAGTAGTATCTCATGGTCAGGCTGACTTTATGAGTCCATGTAAACGATAACTTCAAAGTGGCTAATCTGAAGAATAGACCATGTTAGACTTTAGGCAGCCATATATTACTGTCAGTTCTATCCAAATTGCGAGTTGCAATAGTCTTGTCGTATTTATGCATGACATATACGCTATGATGCGCAAAATCATGATAATCTTCTTTAAACGAGCTGAAGTGGCATGCTCGTACATGTCTACGTTCCTTTATCGGCACGGTTTGCTTCAAATTATTACAACATTTTTTTTTGTAGTGATATTGTCTTGAAACTAGATAGAATTACGTTATTACTTCTTGAATCGCTATGAATTTGCAACAGTGCATCACAATAATTATACTACTAATCACCCAGAGAAGCCAAGCATTGGAGCCCTTCGATCCGTACAAACACGATGGCTCTTGTACGGCATCGATGTCGACATGTTCCTTTCAAATACATGCGACTTCAGCTATGACAATGTTCTATAAAAATCTCTTTCAGGTTGTGGCCACCACTAATGGAACACTGCATCACTATAAAGATCCCAGTCGAATATTTCCCATGACTGATATTCTAACAGCCGATGGTTACCCAAAACTGGTACGTATAGTTCATTTGATTTGCTCTACTTTATCATATTTCGACATTATGATCACTCTTTTACCTAGGTGTATGTGTTCAACAATTCTTTACCGGGCCCCGTTCTACATGTTTATCAGAATCAAAAAGTGCGCGTACATATCTACAATGATTTTCCAACTGAATCACTCAGCGTCCATTTTCACGGCATTCGGCAAGTGAATACACCTGAGAGTGATGGAGTTGGACAAGTCACGCAACTGTCCATTTTGCCGGGCTCAAGTTTCCAGCACGAGTTTGTTGCAATAGATACGGGTACTTTCTGGTATCATTCACACGTTCATGGTCAAACAACTATGGGACTGTTAGGTGGCTTTATTGTGCATCCAAGAACAGTGACTACTCGAGAAGAACATGGCGAATTCGTATTGGTTCTCAATGATTGGCAACACTTTTATACCAGTGAACAGCACCAAGTGCTCATGGCGAGTGGTCAGTTCTATCCAAATAGTATGGAATCTTTGACACAACCAAGTAATATTGACTATTTCGAAGCTGTCGATGGATCACGAGCAGCTGAGGCATTAGTCACCTCAATCTTGATCAATGGACGTGGTCAATATTTTGATCCGCGTGCGGCGAATAACAGTTCGAGCACAACACCATTCGAATATTTGAATATAATTTCAGCACCTAACAACGCCACTTATCGCCTACGTCTGATCAATGGCGGTAGTGTACTGTCACTGAAATTCTCTATCGATGTTCATCCATTAACAGTCATTGCTTCCGATGGTATACCATTCGCACAGCCACTGATAGTCGATCAGTTGATTATTGGTCTCGGAGAACGATATGATGTTTTAATCAAAGCTGCAACAGACAAGACAAGGAACTACTGGATGCGAGTCGATACAATGGACAAAAACAACAATCCGCGATGGCATGCTCGAGCAATTCTGCAGTACATGTCTAATACAACCATACCAACGACGCAACCACGAAACTGTACAGCGACTCAACCATGTCTCATCCTGAACTGTCCTTTCGCTCAATATGGTCCCAAACTGAATGATAATGCTATGTCTCTCATTTGTTTGACTCCGCAGAACATCACAACTCATGAAGATTATCTCGATCGTGGTCTCTTGAATGAAACAGTGGTGCCTAACGTCCGAAAAACACTTCAAATGACCATGGTTGAAGGTACTGATGAGCGAGCTGCTTTCGAATCATTCAATTACATTGGCATGCAATATCCATCGATGGACATACCTATTCTCTATGATGCTCGACATGCTCGAGAACAATTTGCCTGTTTCAATCGTTCGTTGGACACAAATACGGGTGACAAGTGTTATCATACTGTTATGGCTCGATATAACGATGTCGTAGAATTTCTTCTTGTCAATCACGACGACGATCAACATCCTCTCCATTTACACGGTTCCTATTTTCATATTGTCGAGCAAGGTCTAGCTGTGTTGAACTCAACAACTGGTGAATTCCTAGCGAATAATCCTAACGTTGATTGCAACGAACATGCAGAATGTAAATGCATAGAAACAACTGAAGGGTGCAAGAAAAATAATATGCGTTTAGTGAAGGATACAATACAGTTGTCCAAAGGAGGGTAAGATTCGTGTTCGACAGTAGTGAAAACTTCTTGGAAAGAGGATTTTGTGCTCTTTTTCTTCAGATATATGAGAATACGCTTTCGAGCGACGAATCCCGGTATTTGGCTCTTTCATTGTCATACGGAACCACACTTATCTCGAGGCATGGTCATTGCCTTGCATGTTAGTACATTCATAGACATCGTGAAAGGTCATTTATCAAGAGTTTCATAATATATTTAGATCGCTGAAGACCGGTTATTTCAATCGATCGCATCTCATTCAACAAATATTGCTGACCATTGTATTTCAATTGTTCTGGCTTTCGCTTTCTGCTTTATATATTTAGCTACCGACTAATAAGTTCTCCTGTTATCTCGCGCAATCTTAATGGAAGCAATACATAAATGACGAATATATTTCGTGTACACATAAACATAGAAAATAAGCATGATCAATTTAGAGTTATGACTCTCTCACATGATAAACAGATATTGATAGATGGATGTGGGAGGGTGTGGATGTGGGTGTGGGTATGGGTGTGGGTGTGGGTGTGGGTGTGGGTGTGGGTGTGGGTGTGGGTGTGGGTGTATGTGAACAATAAACAACCACACCCACACCCTGCACCTCACATGATGCTAGAAGATTATCTTTTTGGTCGATGGACATTTCATTACCACTCAAGGTGAGGAAAGAGCTGATTGAAGGTTGCAAAGTACGTGAACTATGAACTTTCGCGGGTCAGTTCCCATCTCTAAAAACAAAAAATAGTGTCATAATGAACCTTTTTGGAGTTCTACGGTTACTGACTAGAACCGAAAAAAGGTTCAGAAAATGATACTCAATTCTAGAACCTTAAAAAATTCAGAATCTTCACTAAAACCTTATAAGCTTCAGTATGACACTTTTTTTTAGAGAGCAGCAACGAATTTATTCAACAGGTTTCATCGATGTTGTAAACATCATACAATGTCGTGACGAATTTGCAATCGAGTGTTCATACTAGCTACACTATTGGCTATCATTCAATGGCAATCGTATCCGGATGTTCCGTTCTTTCGTGCCTTATCTTTACAAATGTTCTCATTTTTGCTGATCGTTATAAATGAACGATCTTGATAGCTCAGATCGGTTTTCTAATTTATATTGCTTCGAATGTCTATCCAAAAGCGTAGCGTATTTATTCAGATATGAATATGGAATTCTTTATTGCTTTATTTGGATTTTTTCAGCATCTGTCATCTGTGGCTGGTTTCGAGCCAGTTTTTGGACTGTGCAAAATGCTTATGAAACTGACTTAAGCAACAGAAATCATGCAGGACTCGTAACAAACACTGCTGCTAACAAGTATTTTGGTATCTTTTTATAACATTTCAAATTAGTAAAAACTGCCTAAAATGGCAAAGTTCAATATTGAGTCGAATCATTGATGTATAGACCAAATTTGGGGCAATTTAGTGGCATATTTCGTCCTACGCAGTAGTAACAATATCACAAGGACTACATAAAATAACTCTGCAGTTCCCTGTAGTGCTGACTTCTTCGAAGGTGAATAGACAGGGACGAACAACTCCACTACACGACCTAATACAACGGTAGGCACCATAGGGTGTAGGTGTGGATATCGATCTTCGTTTCACCCACAACTTCATCTGACAGTAAACTATATTTTACAGAACCATCACACTATATTGGAGAATGTTAAGGAGAGATTAACGGATCTTTAATGTCAATATCAACTAACAACCTGACACCGCCTTACAGCACCTAGCATTGTTGTGCGAGCGATAGGACGCTGTGCTCCGAAGTGAAGGATGTTTGGTGATCGATATGCGCAACTGTTGAATGTGCATTAAGGTCTGTGGATGGTTAATAAAACCGTTTTTCCCGTTACCTCCGTTTTTGCAATGCAAAAAGAAAGTATTTGTCCTCATCACTTCAATAAAAATAAATGTTAAGAATTATGCATTTTTTCCTTTTTTTTATGTTCTAAGAAGCATAAATTTGTGTTATTTTGCAAATACTGACAATTAACATATGAACTGCGTACAATATACAGAAAGAAAAATAATCACTTCCTTTAAAAGCACTTTCTCACGCATTAGCTTTGGTGCACAGAGAGATTTTTTTTTTTTTCATATAAAAAATAAAAAAAGGAAGAAAGAAAGTAATAGGAATTAGTGAATCATTATTTTAAATTGGAAAAAATGGATTTCGCGAATCTTGGCCTGCCACAGGAGCCAGTCTACAGTAGAGAACCAGAAACGCTTTGTAGTATTTTTAGAAACAATATAAAAACCATCATATTAGTTTCATTAAGTCTAATACTTGTTTTGATTCTCTTGTCTGTCAGTGTTACAGTCTTCGTTACATCACCAAGGCCGCAGTGGTTTAATGCTACCGTTCCATTCAGTCGCACTACAAGATCGACCACCAGAAGACCAAATGATACTTCAGGTAACTTGTTACCATTTTACGTGCTTTTTAACCCTTTGGTGTCGAAGTTTTTCAACAAAAATAAATTCTTTTCTATAAGTGAAAATGGATGTTTATTCAATCAAAAATGTTTTAAGGTATGATAGGCTTTGAAATAATCAGTTATGCATAAACCAACATCACATTTCTCACACTCATATCTTGTACGTTTGGCTGATTTTTCAAGTCTTGTTATATGAGAGCATACATGACATTTGCTTTGGGCAGTTTTCTTTGAAGTAGTTGAGGGTACAAGTGATGGAAAATGTCTAGCAGATAAACCTAGTGGTGAATCAGTTGATGACCTCGCAACAGACATTCGTTTTTGATTTCCATACTTTGATAGAATGTATAGAGGAATCCCAATACAGAATGTATGATAGCACAAGCAGAAAATCCATTATGTAATGTTGGAAAATAGTAAATGCACTATGTGGGAATATCTCCAATACTTTCGAAATACTGATAATTTTTTGTATTAACAAAGGAAAATTACTCTGTAGACTATTTTCACTCATTTTTGAATCCTTTGGTATATGTATGATTGCCAGATTTCAAGAAATACTCGAAGTGGTATATATTCCACACTCGGCACCAAAGGGTCAATAGAGAGTATAAAAACTTGATCTTTCTTATACCTTTGTGGCATAGGTGACGACGATAACTCGGCTGCCACACGTAGCTGTGATTCTTTCCGAATGCCAGTATACAATCAAAATGTAGAGACTATTGTTTCCAATGAGTATCAAGCATTTCAAGCAGAATTTGTCTATGGCCTGTCGGTTCGATATCCTGGAATAGACCTTTTCCTTGATAGACGACGAAAAAAACTCTATGTTACTACTCGAACTCACGTTATCCTATTTTCCACAGAAAATTTGGTTAAAAATGATGGTGAATTAATTCTTGGACGAGGTGTCAATCGACTGCCGCCACTAAACAATTTTCGTTCTATATTTGTTGATAGAAACGAAAACTTGTATGCTCTCGTCGTAGAATATCCTGAAGGCCCCTATAGCGTTTGGTACTGGCCGAATAACTCGTCGAACGGAAGTAAACTGTTTAACGTTAAGAGCTATGCTCATATGATTTATGTGGATCGAAATCTGGACATTTACATTCCCGAAACAAGTAATAATCGAGTCGTTCAATGGCTAAAACAAAGTGATTATAAAAACTTTACTGTTAGAGCCGGTAACGGTGTGGAAGGAACTAGTGACTCCCACCTTTCTCAACCTTTCGGAATTTATCTTAACGAAGATAATTTTGATCTCTATGTGGCTGATACTTCCAATCATCGCGTACAAAAATGGACGTTAGGTTCCTCGGAAGGAAGCACAATTGCATCAAATTTACAGACGCCAGCCTACATACATCTCGATTGCGGTGGTAATTTCCTTGTGCTTGGTTACCAACGCTTCAATTTAAATTTCTACAAGTCAGTACTGACAACAGGCTTGAGTGGAGTTGAACTTGTAAAAGATGTGGAAGTGGGAGCGGTGGCGTATGACGAGAGAAATGGAGATCTTTACGTTTTTAGTATAAAGCTAAACAAAATTGTCAAATATTCAATCGATCAGGAAATTATTTTATTGTCAGGTAAGTTGTGGCGTATTGTTAGAAATTTGAGACACATCACTGTGAAGATCCTTGTTCGAGTTAAGTGATCGTCTAGAAATGTTTGATTCGTGTAAATATTAGGACTAGAGATGCGCCGCTGAAATCATTTGATAAAGTCAACCTATATCAAAATAACCCATTCTGAACTGCCACACGTTATCAAACTTTTGGCATCATGCTAAATGTACTTAGTAAAACTGAGTCCACGGAGCGTATTATTTGACAGTGTTTGGTGGTTCCTGGCCGAGTGCTTGGTAAAGTTTGACTTTTTCAAAGTCTAAACTAGGGTATTTGTAAAACATACCTCCAACTAATCGGAGAGGCATAGTTTAATCGAACCTGATATGGCTTCATGTAATGAAGGACATTTCGAAAAGATGATCTTATAGTAGCGGGCAAATATGATTAAAAGAAAAAACTAAAAGATCTATAAGTAGTCTATATACACAAACTAGTGGAGTTTCAAAAGAGATAAGTAGCTCTCTTCTGTCCACAACCATACAGAAAATTTTCAGAAAAAGGCAAGACGAAGTATTTGTTTACTAGAACGGAGTGTATTTATAAGCTCAGTATGATGCATCCGTATAAAATTAGATGTCATTTCCATCGATCAGTTAAGCGTTGGCTGAGCCATGAATCACTAAGTGTTATTTTAGACGCAAAGCAAAAACCTCAGACCCTTCACATTTAAAAAAAACCTAGACGGTTACATTGCAAGTGGACACGTGTTTTCTGCACCAAAAACTACTACTTTGCACAGCTTCGTATAGCGAGAGGATGTGATGCAGAATCGTCATCTTTCCGCCCAATGAAAGGAAAAGCCTAATATTATACATTTCAATAAAAAACTCAATTGGTGCCTAACATCAAACACGAAATATCTCGGAAAACTAAGGCTTTCTAGAAGTTCGCTAGGGCCTTGCAAGCCTCAAAATTCTTTTCAAACAACATGGGAACGATTCTAATCAATTCTGAACCAAATGAGACATCAATCAAATGTGTATTATATTCATGTGAACGACTATCAAAAAAATACTAATCTAGGTGAAGTTATCATAAAACCTTCGCTCTCAAGTATGTATTTTCGACTCTTTTCATGTTTTTACCATAGTTTTTCACAGGAACACCAGAATATATTAAATAAAGTCTCATTTTGCTCAGAACTGAGGACACTATTGAATACTTCGAACTTTTCAAAACCCTAAGGATACCTAGAAAGTTTTGATTTTCCACCAAATTCCAGAATTTATACAGAAAGATAGGCT